ATTTTAAGTGTATTTACAATTCTATATTTTCCGATCATACAACATCAAGAAATTCATTCAAGAGAACCGTGAAGCTGTAAGCAAAGCTGTAATTCTAATTCTGCTTAGCACAACTGGTTTGAAATCATAAAAAGAAAACATGCAAATTTCTGCATGCTGTTTGCACGTAACGAGTACATTTTTGCATATTAACTGATCAAAATTATAATAGTTTTAACTTTTGCAATTAAATTGCTGTTATTTCCATCTTGTAGATGTTTCTTAAAGAGTTACTCCGCTTTAGCGGAGGATCTAAACTCCTGTACATGTACTTGCATTTCTCATCTTGCGTGACATTATTACGTTCTTTTCGTAACACAAGATAAATCAGTCACGCAATAGTAAACATTCGTCGTTTTAGAAAATGATATTTACAGACTTGTCTGTTTTGAGAATGTATAGCAAAAGCGAACATTTCGAAAAACAAAACAACATTCTGCTGCGATCTTGAATGTGCATTTCGTTTAATATTTTAATGACATCTGAAGGTATAATGGCGGAGAAGAGAGGAAATGCTTTGAGAAACGTATCCATCAAGGTTTACAGTAACTAGAGATAAAGTCAAACCAACCCAAAGGCGACCATCTGTGTACTTTGCCAAACCAACGTGGTGCTTATAAATTATGGATAAATTTCTACTCTAATAATTTAGCTGCAGGAGACAATTTAGGACTTTTACAAGGTAGTCACATTTCAGACTCAAGGTGGTCACTTCACGGGAGTCACTTTACACAAGGTGGTCCTTTAGAGAGGTTTGACAGTGTTCAATACTTCAGACATGCAATGTACCGTACCAAGACTTTTCTTCAGTGATTTTTAAATATCTTTATCTTTTAATAATTTTTTTTTTTTCAAAATGTCGTATGTATTATACGGAAGTTCAACAGATCAACGTCAATACATCATGTCCCAATCAGTTTAAACTTTTGGGGAGTCAATCAGTCAGTCAGTCAGTCAGTCAGTTAACAGTCCATCAGTCAATCCATCAGCAGTCAATCAGTCATTCAGACAGTCATGAATAAGTCAATCATAACTAGTGATTCAGTTAGTCAGTCAGTCAGCAGTCTGTCTGCAGTCAATCAGTCAGTCTGCTAGCAGTGAGTCAGTCAGCAGTCCTGAAAAAGTCAGTCAGTCAAGAAGTCAGTCCTGAGTCAATTAGTGAGTCAGTTAGTCAAGAGTCCATCAGTCAATCAGTCAGTTATGAGCCAATCAGGTGGTCAGACATACATGTTAGTCAATCAATTAGTCAGTCAGTCAGTCAGTCAGTCAGTCTGTCAGTCCACCAGTCAGTCAGCAGTCAGTAGTCAGTCTGTCTTAATCCATTAGTCAGTTTGTCAGACAGTCAGTGAGTTGGTCGTTCAGCTGGTTGATCGGTTGGTCGGTCAGTCGGTCGGTCAGTCAGTCAGTCAGTCAGTCCATCCGTCCATCAGTCAGTCTTTTTATGTTTGAGTTACTGTACATAGTTTGAATACTGTATTTCTCTCACTTTTATCTGGAATTCTCTCTCATTGTCAATGTATAAAACAAACGGGATAGACGACAGCTACTTTAAGAGTGTCAATCATCCAGTCAATTGGTACTGCAGCCTAATTACTCACTAAGTTATACAATCGCCAATTCAAAAATTTTCTTTGAAGGTGAAAATGCAATCTAATTCTGAAAAAAACATCTTACTTTTGAACATCATTTTTGGCAGCAGAAGATAAATTTAACAATTTCATGGACGATTGGTTTAAAATAGTGTGATTTAACAACTTTTCTTACTCACTGTGTAAATAATCAAGTTACAAACTGCATGTCTGAAGTCAAATAATCAGAGCAGAACTTGGCTTATTCAAGAGTTTTGTTTACCTGGTTCACCCAAGAGTTGGATTGCAAAATAGAACATGCAGCCCTGCTAAAGATAATTGCTTGAAGATTTAGTCCACTTTCTCCCTGTTGGCATCTGATCTGGAAAAGAAAGAAAGCTTATTTGTCAGGTTAAGAAATAATTTTATAGAAGTTTTTATAATTATTACCATGTACTTGACATTGCAGTTAAGAGGGTCGTACAGGACGGGGTCTCTGGCACGGTTCATGAATAGAAAAAATAGTGAATTACAGATCATGGGTATTGAAATTTCATTTTCCTGAATCAAGAAAATGAGCAAGCAAGGTACTCTCTTTAATAACCTGCTCTTATGCTCTAAAGAGTGTTACTAGGTGATACGACATTTTTGAAAATCAAGTGAAGGACATCAAGGGAAACTCTCTCTTACTTGGTAGTTGCAGATGCCTTACAAAACGTTACAGTAATTATACAGAGGTCACGTTTGATGTGTTCAGTCTTAATAAATCTTCTGGAAGACTTGCGTCTCAAAATTACATACAATAGAGTGATTAAATCACGAATATCGGTTGATAACTTAAGTTCTTCCCGGGTCACACAAGACCTTCAAGTCACAGATCATGAAGAATAATTTACTAAATTCACATTTCATGGAAAATAAACTCATCACGAGAATACCCCTGTAGGACCCTCAGTTAACTAAGAGGGAATTTAGTCAACACAATGTTGATATCTTGTTAACAAAATCTCAGATAGTCTGTGAATCAGTCAACTAAGAGGTCAGTTAGTCAGTCTGCCTGTCTGCCTGTCTGTCTGTCTGTCTGCCTGTCTATCTGTCTGTGTGTCTGCAATTCAGCCAATCATTTTATGTTAGTATATTCAGTTGCCAGTTTTCAGTCAGTCAGTCAGTCAGTCAGTCAGTCTGCCTGCCTGCCTGCCCGCCTGTCTGTCTGTCTGTCTGTCTGTCTGTCGTTCTGTGTCTGTGTCTGTCTGCAATTCAGCAAATCATTTTAATCTGTTAGTATATTCAGTTGCCAGTTTTCAGTCAGTCAGTCACTCAATCACCTTGTTTGCCCTTTACATTTGCTTAACAAAGTGTCCAAGGGAGGCACTCATTGCTACTTATTTCATTGCCAGAGGAGTTCACCTGGTCAGTATGTCAGATAGTCTACATATCAGTTTATCAGTGAGTTAACCTGTTAGTCAGTTTGTTTGCCAATCAATCACCATGCCAGTTCTACTTGTTGATTTGTTATCTTAAACAATTACATATACACAGGCAATGAATAAATCAGTTCAGAGACCAACCAGAAGTTTAACAGGATATT